GGCTGCAGGAGCTCCTGGAAGGCCTTTGGCTCCAACTCGCCTTGGCAGCCCATGCGGCCCCAGGCCCTCCACCTGCTGGCCTTTGCCGTGGGGAGTCCTGCGCCTCCCGCAAGCCCGCGGTCCTGCTCAGAACGTGCCCCCAAGAGCGGCCACGCAGGGGCCCTCAGCTCGGCCGGGAGGGGCTCCCTCCGCTCCGGAGCTTTGGTCCACACAGCTCTGTCTCCACGATAATGGTGAGCAGATGCAGTTGATAACACTTGCCTATGTTTCCGTGTCTGTGTTTCTCACACTGTGAGTGAAATGCAGGTGTAAAGCCCTGGGTTTGAATTCCCACTGGTGCATTTACCAGCACTGAGTGACATTCAGGACAAGGCACTTCTCTCAGCGCCAGCCTTTTCAGTGACACGACGAGGTTGATACTGCTTTAAATGCGTGACCTCCATCTAGAAGGTGCAAAATAATCGTACAATATAATGTTATTTCCAAACCTACAGGTTTTCATCTTTTCCCCACACGGTGTTTGACCTTTTGTTATTCATTCACACTGACCTATTTTTAGGTCTGCGTTCTTTTGTAACAAATTCTCCTTGTATCACCTGCTACCTTGCGATGAAAGATGGTGAGCTTCTGGGCATGATACTCAGAGTGCGTGAAATCACACTGAGAAGCACCGTAGTGGCGCACACGCACCAAACCAACAGAGGCCTGACGCCTGCAAACGGCAGCTTGTAGATCATCCAAGGGGAAGTCAAGGTCGAAACAAACCAAAGACAGCATCGCGTGTCCTTCCCCGAACGCAGCCCCCACGCCACTGAGGACTGGCACGTTTTAAGGGAGGGGGTGAGTTTGAAGAGAAGAGAAATGAGGAAGACTTGCGCAAGGTCGAAGGAGAGAGGCGAACCGTGAGAAGCAGTGACCACCAAGTTAACAGGAGAGAACAAGGAGGAGGGAGTAGAGCCGGACATGAAGGGACCGAAGGATGCCCAAGGAAAGAGGCAGAGACAGTCACAACAGGGAGCGACTCACAGCCAAAGACTAAGGATGAGAAAGACAAACTGACAAATCGAGAGGGACGGAAGGACGCCGTGGACAGAGAGGAAGGCAGCTGGAGATACGCAGAGAGAAAGGGAGGTGGGCCAAGGAAGGCAGGAGGAACAGGCTGAGAGCCAGGAGTCACCACATGGCAAGAGCTACTCAGGAGAGAGAGGATAGGAAACAGAGAGGAAAGTTCTCTGTGAGGGAGGGCAGAAGGAAGAGGCCGAATGTAAACCAAATGCAGATGCAGAGAGACGAGACTGGTGACACCCCAGGAGAAAAAGGGGACAAGAGAAAGACGGGAAGAAACAAGAAAATGTGAATAAACATCACGTTTAGCTCAACTACACAACTGCAATATGCCAGACCCCCAGCAGCTGCGGGCTCCCATAATTCCCCAAGGCAGCACGCACGGCTCCTAGTATTTTCTACATTTTATAAAAGTTGAAAGTATTGTCCAAGGTCATGTAGTTAGTGGTTACGCTAGAAACCTATTCCAGGTTGGTACGTCTCTAAAGATCATGTGTTTTTGTTTGGTTTTGTTTTGTTTTTTCCTACTTTGCCAAGCGCCGAGATAGGCATGTGCACAGAGTGAAAAAGTGATAGCTGTTAAAAGAGAATGAAAGATGGGGACAGAGGGGACTCTGATAGAGGGTTGAAGTCCCAGGGCTCCCTTTGTCAAGACTGCAAGTTGTCTTTCTCTAAAACACACTGAAATCGCCAAGCTGGTTTACCCAGGGTGCGAATGTCTCCAGAGCAAGTCATAATCTCCTGGTGTGAAGTCACCTTGATTTAGGGAGCTGGATCCCTAACTGACTCCAGCGAGTCTGACATGGACTCTCTTTTCCAGCTGTCACTTGCTGTCGGATTAAATCAGCAGCCTTTTCTGCAGGCAACCTGGGCGTCCTGGGATCCTTCCCAGGGAGGCCGTGCTATCTGCTCCAGGAATGTGCGGGACTCCCAAAAAACCAAGAGACGCATTATAAGACATCACTGGAGCTAGTGTGGGTTAAATGCAGGCCACAAATGTGTACAGAGGAAATCAGAGCCAAGATGCATCCAAGTGGCCCTGAGACGTGTTGAATGCAGAATGGCCGGATTGGGAAGGGCTCCCAGATGAGGCAAGACAGATGGGTCCTGTCAGGGAGTTGCACCCAATCCCATCCTCCTGTCCCATCGCTGTACCCTAGCTGTGGTCGTCCCTGTTATTGGGCCTTAATCACCTAGTGACGGCTTTGTCCTCAGCCCAGTCCTTCTCTATGTCATCACTCGTGTCTCTCCTGAGTGACCATGAGAGTGCCCACCCTCTTAAGGGCGGCTTGGCCATCCTGACCTGTGACTCGTGAGACACGTGCTTGTCACCTGCCACCTTGACTGTGAAGACATCTCACAACTTGCCTTTAAGGAAAAAAAAATATATATATATATACATATATGTGTGTATGTGTGTGTGTGTGTGTGTGTGTGTATTCTGATCTCATACATCTTTCTTTCATACCCTTCAGGCTCTACTTGGGTTTTCATTCTCACCAGTCGGTGAGCATGTCTGACGACAGCTAGTTTCAGGCATGAAGGGGATTTGAAGCCACATCGGATTGTCTGGCATTGGGCTTCAACAATGAACTTGAGTGAGCGTTAGCGCTAACTGCAGGCTGGACACAGGCAGAGGCTAGGTAGTAGGCTGTCATCTGCCAGTATCAAGTCACTGACCCTCTGGGAGCAAGAAAGCCCAGGGGTATCCAGGGCCGCCCCTGTGTGTACACGGGGACAGCTGGTCACAGACTTCGCCGGCCTGCAGGCGTGGTGCACGGCTCCGGAACTGAAGTGTGAGAAGACCTTACAGGCCATCCCCTGCCTGTTGGTAATTAGGTGCTCCCGCATGTGTAACATACGATCAGAAGGAGGAAGAAAACCAGGCCCCCCTGTAGACATACCTCTGCTGCTTCTTACCTGTGCATCCTTGGGAAAGACACCTGAGCTCTGTTGGACTCAGTCGTTAAATCTGGAAAAAAAAAAAGTTGAGCTAGAATAATTCAGAAAATTTATTGAGCGCCTGAGTAATACTAGAATAATTTCACTTTTATAGAGCATTGTCATACATTGAGAGTTAAGAGAGACCTCCTCAGAATCTGATTAACTTGGCCGCTGCCTTGTTGGGATGCTATGGAATAACTCATCATCTTTACCTCTTTTTTTTAAGACTTAGTTTCTGTCAACTGGACTAAGTCAGTTGCAAACTGGTAGCCCAGGAGCCAAAATACTCTTTAATATCTGTGTTCTAGTTAGTCCTGTCAGTATGTGTGTGTGTGTCAAAATGTGTGTTGGCATTCAAATATCAAATATTGTCAAAGTGAAATATTTATAAAAGTTTTTTTATTCTTATTTTTTATTGAAGTGTAGTCAATTTGCAATGTTATTTTCAGGTACCAGCCAAGCAATTGAGTTATACAGGGACATACTTACATATTTATTCTTCAGATTCTTTTGCATGACGGCTCATTACAAGAAGTTGAATATAGTTCCCTGTTCTATATGGTAGGTCCTTGTTGTTCATCTGTTTTATACATAGTAATGTGTAGTTCTTAATCCCCAGCTCCCAGTCTATCCCAAAGGTATCTCGACAAGCTAGGGGAACTGGTAATACTGGACCAACATTCCTTCAGGGAAAATCTCATGGTGGGTGTGAGTGACTGTTTTCCTTTGACATGGCTTGTGTTTTCCAGGTTACTATGTCCCCTGTCTAACATTTTTATTCATTGATATTATCTGCTTAGCCCTCAATGTTTCTGAATTTCTAGCAGCTGAGATAATTTGCTGGATCTTTTTCAACTTTAAGATGGTGTGATTCTAAAGCATAAGACATGACCTCTACTCTCCAGAATGTGTTTGCAATCAATCAAGAAAATTATTGGGAAAATAATGAAACCAAGGACCCTGGGTAATGTTTTCATGATTATCCACCAAATTATTATTTTTTCCTCTGCTGTGTATTTGGTAATGAAGAATCTTGCATCAACTTTCCCTTGACATTACTTCTGCTATTCATGTTAATACGGCAGGTATATAAAGCTGACACTGTGCAGTCATTACGAGGGGTTTCCGTATCACAGCCGAAGCTAAGCGTCTGCTAATTGTTAATGCTAATAAAAGTAGCTGCTATTACTTGGCCTTTAAAATATAATTACATGACAGGAATTCTCTGCTTCATTTTCCTCATACAGCCCATGTAATCACCATATAACAAAATTAGCAATGGATGAGGCTGAGTGCAAGGCGAACTCACCCACTCAGGAGGTGGGAAATGCCCGAGAATAGGACAAAATGAGAAAAAAGATCATTGCAACTTTTTTTTTTTCCCAAGCGGGTCCAGGAAGAAATTAAAGCACAACCAGAGGGATCTTTTTACAGTGTGAGTCAGACCTTGTAACTCCATCGCTCAGGCCCCACAAAGGGTTCTCACCCTAGACAGTGTCACCAAGGCCCCATAATGGCCTTTGCAATCTCCCATTCTGTCCCTTGTCTCAGGTTCTAGATGCTTTCCTCATCTCCCTTCACTTCAGCTACACTAGCCTCTTTTTATTTCTTCTCAAAGCTTCCAGGCATGGGGGCCTTTTACTGCAGGATTTTTTTTTTTCAATTTCTCCTGCCTCTGCCTGACACCATCTCCCTCCAGGTAGAGATGCAAGTTACTTCCTCATCGCCATCAGTCCTGAGCTCAAAAGGTACCTTCTCAGGGGTCTTCCCCAGCCCAGCCTAGGAGAACTGGGGCGCAGCCCTGCAGCTGCTCCTCCATCCTTGTCTGCTCTTTCCTCCCCCGTGCTTACCATTCGCGGACCCACTGGGCACAGACATCACCATTTGTTTAGAACCTGTCTTCCCTCACCAACACGCACAGCCTTGACAACAGGTGTTTTTGTCTGAGATCTTTAATGGTGTGTTCCCAAGAAATAGGAACAGTGCCTGGCAGAGAGTTAAGTATTCCATAAATATTGCTGGAAGAAGAGTGAATGCTGAAGCATCCTATATTTCTCTAATTTCAAAAAAAGATTTGAAATGGTGTTAAAAGTGAATTCAGGCATATAACTTGTCAATGGTGAATGATTAAAAAACGTGAAAAGAGAGAGGAACGTGGCAGGTAAGTAAGATCCTTTGGTTACTGGGTCTGATCTGTAAGTTGACTGCAAAACAATCATACAGCAAATTCTTTAAAAGTCAGATTATTTTAAGCCTAATGCTTCGTGTAAACAAGCTACAGGCCCCTTATAGCAACTTGGAGGCCCACTAGATCAGACCTAGTAACCTGCAGGCCAAGCCAGATGTAAAAGCAACTTCTGTTTCGGCACCGACCCCCTCCCCAATGTCCTGAAAGGACGCTTGTGTACTGGCCATTCCCCATTCATCCTGCCCTCCACAGGCTGTTCTCTGCCCTTTGCCTGTGGACGACATCACCTGGGCCCCCTTCCCAGTGGACGTCCAGGCGGATTCTTCCAATGGGCGTATCTAAGGTGGGATTTGAAGGTGGGAGGAGAGGGCCTGAGGGACTTACCTTCTTGCTACTTCCCTGCTGTGAAGCATCTCTGTGGCTGGCCGACCCTCTATGTCTACAGAGTGTATTGGGAGTCCCAGTTCAGGCTCAGCTCCCACCCAGCCTCCAGTAAGAGTGACCTCCCCTTGGTCCTTTCCGTTCTAAGGGTGGTAATGGTTTCCTCTCTTCCAGAACCTTTGTGTCACCTGCTCATTGTCTTCGCCCAGCCCACATCTCTTAAAGGGTCCCTTATTTTAAATATCTCTCTAAAAATCCCACTAATGTGCCAACTTGAATCACACGGACCTTAACACTGATCTCCCTGGATCATTTTGAGTAGAAACTCCATTAGAGCTGTCACGTAGAGTAAGACAGACAGCGTTCTGCCCTCCAGAGCCGAGACTGCCCTGGGTGGCTGGGCAAAGCAGAGACCTACTGCTCTAAACATGTCCACTCACAGATGCTTCTCCATGATTCGCGGGCTAATCAGAACTCTGTCACTTTAAATTCCATCCATGGCTCAGATCCCTGGCTTGTATTCAGTTTAGCCAGCTAAAGTGATGTCTTTAGAACTATTGATTTGTTATGCATGAGGTCTTTTAGAAAACTGAAAATTTTGTCATTGAGGATCTGTGGTAATAGATATTTTAGATTATTGGACCAATGGTCAGTAAAACACAACCCAGATTAAATAAAGGGCTTTATCCCTCTCGCGGGGATTATTTAGGGTGGGACCGAAGTCTTGGATGTTCTAATAGTTTATGCCTCCAACAAAGAGACTCGACAGTGTGCTTGCAGACTTGAACAGAAGAGCCCAGAGAATCAATACCTGAGATTGAAGCACAGGTATCTCTTCTCTCAGAGACCATGCAGGGTTGAAATTTCATCCTTGAGGGCAACGCAGTAAAAACAATGAGTTGGGAGGGAACCAGATGAACCATACCAACCCCTGAGTCCATGCAGTGGAAGATACAAGAGCCGTAATCTTCCATCAAGAAAAAAAATTTATTCTCATTTTGTTTTTTCTGCAAGGAAGACAACGCCTTTGCTTTACGCATTCTGTTTGTCATTGGCTTCCCAGCGAACACTCATCTTTGTGCCCATGAGCGGTGGTGGAAAGATGTGGGGGTGAGCTGAGGAGTCAGGGGCGTCTAAGTGTTGGTCCTGACTCACAGCCTACGCATGTCCCTGAAATATTCACGTGTGCAGTTTTCACTCTGTGGAGAAAGAGCGTTTATGAAACACTCTCTAGCTCTAACATTCCAATTCCATCTGCTTTGTTGGCAAACTAATCATTGTCTTATCCATCAATTATTTACATAAAATCTTTTCAAATCAATATTTCTATAAATAAAAATCACCCAATCTTCTTATCTAAGCCACAGGCAAAATTGGGCAATATTTTTACCCACCCCCTCAGGAGAGGTTCCCATTAGGCTGTTGCTGACAAGGCATGAATTATTAATATTCCAGCAATGTTTACTTTTAAGACATTCAGTCTTCTCCTCTTGTTAGCAGTATAACTTTGATGTCTGGAGTTCTGGTTCCAGGTAGAGTCAATAAGGGGTTGCATTTTATTTTTTGTGGGTTTAATGGGTATTAAATAATTAATACATACAAAACCAATCACCCCTACTAACTTCTTTTTTTTTCTTTCCCAATTTCCCACTTCAAGTTCCTCAAAAGAGACTTTAAAGTTTTAGAAATTATGTCTCAATGGAAGAACAATGGAAGAATAATTTGGGAAGATATCCTTGGCCAAGGTTGCTTTATTGTAATGATCAGTTACTCCACGTTAGTTGCCTGAGTATGCCTTGGGATTTTGGAATACTGGTGTTTTTTTTTTTTATAGCATGTTTGCTGCATGACTACAGAATCAAATATTCTCTAAATGGAAAGGATTTTACTGGTTTGAAAATGATTTAGACTTTTGCCTCCTCTTTAGAATGTGGCTCTTTTAAATTGCCATCAGCAGAGAAGCAATAAACAGATCATTAGTACTGATGATGTCATAACGGATAATGGAAGAGCATTAATTTTTGTAATATCATCATTAATTATCACTAACACTGAAATGCAGTGGGGCTGACTTTGTCTTATTAAATGAAACAAATGCTTTGAAATATTAATTAATAAAATCAATCTCAATAAATTAGTGATAGTAAAATTTATTGTTTAAACATTTTAAAGCATGCAAAGTAAAGAAAGTTTTGTAGTTCACGAAGATGCCATTAATATAATTAAGTGCTTTCATTTTATATCACATTAGCCCTTGGGAAATCACTAGAAAATCCAAGGAAAACCTTTTCATTTTCTTCAGTCTCAATTTTCATCATCAAAATGATGTGGCCTATCTCCTATGTTAGTGTGTGGATTAAATGAGATCTTTAACGGAAAGTGATCTATAAATAATCAAATACCTTGTGTCTGTGAAGGATTACTTGTCCTTATAGGTAAGATGGGTGTGGCTGTTCACTTTGCATTTCTGAAAGAGCAATCACAGTCACACAAAAGATTGGGGAGAGTTAACAGTCATTAAATAATTCTGTGCGCCAGGTGGGCCCTTTGTTAGACACTTTGCATCGATTATTTTGTGTGATTCTCATAATAAACATTTGAAGGAAGAGAAAATGCTCTTTTCACCAATGAGAAAACAAAGAGGATTAAGGAGGCTAAGTTCCCTGCTCAAGGCCATGAGGTAACCTGTGATCCTGCCGGAGCTGTTCATTCCAGAGTCCACAGCTTTAGACAAAAAGCCGTTCTGTCTCAGAGGCTGTCTAAGCAGCTTTCATTGATTTTCATCATCATGGCCTCTGGCTTTCTATAGTTATTTCATTTAGATCAGCATGTGAGAAAGGAACCAATGAAGAAACTAAGATTGGAGACGGAATCCTAACGGGAGGGACTAGAGCCTGGCCTGATACGTGTAAAAGGGAATTTTCTCTAACTAGTTGAGTGTCAATTTTGATAACATCACTATGTCAGTACCTAAGATTCCAAGTCCAGTGAGATGTAGGTTTTCTTTAAGGAGCGTGTGGCATTTTATCTGACCAAGTACTTGATTTTAATCCTTATTTTTAAAGGAGATAGATATGAAAAACAAATAGAAATAAATTTTAATAATGTGTGCTCCTATGCTCCCAGAATACTATGTGGATCTGTCTGTTGTGACCCTTCCCACCTTGTATGTTAATTCATTTACCTTCATATCTAACTCTTGACTCTACAATTTTCAAAAACTGTGATCATCACACATTTTCGGAGCTGGCACAAGACGGTAGTTAAGACGCTGTCCTCACCCCGGAAGCCAAGCAGCTGCATGACGATAGGCGAATTATTTTTTTTAATCATCAGTTTTCTCACATTAAGATGGAACTAATAATAAGGTCGAGTTATAGGCTTCTTGGGAAGATTAAAAGAGAAGGCATCAACAGTGCCTGGCTTCTTAGAAGGAACTCAGAATACGGAGAATATTATTATTTGTGTGTTTATCGCAACACCTTGCCCGATAAGAGAAACCATTCATTTTGAATTAATTAATTGACTAATTGACTAAGAAATAATGTTGATGTTACCCAGAGGTTTCCATAGATAAAACCACTTCCTATGAAATGACAAACTTCCTGTGAGTAATAAAACAGAGAGATCGGACACTCACCTGGTAGGCATGTAACAAAATAGTCTTACACGAGACGACAGTTTGTGAAAGTATGGATTCGATCCTGCCCGAACCGTAGTGTCTGTGATTCTATGAGCTGCAAATTAAATTCAGCGTCATTTGAGATTCTTTTAGAAAGGTGATTCCATTTGTCCCTGAAGCAATAAAACAGTATAATATTGATATAATTCATACATTAGCAAGAAGTTTATTTACAAACTACGGCAAATGTATGTAGAAATTGATGTTTTCGTGTTCACTGCTTAAAGGACTGTGTTAGGAGCTATTTCTCAATCTCTTACTTTGCTAAGAAGGTGGCTGTGAAACTAATATTCTCCACTTAATTATTAATGCTGCATTGATTTGTTTTCTCATAGTCCAAGCGACAAAAATCCATTCAGAAATATAAGCAGCAAAGTTTCAGATAAAACTTACAGTTTAACTCAAGAGGAAAAAATGCAGCCAGGTCTTGTTAATCTTTCACATTTAATTTCCTTTCCTTTAAAAGGGAGGGTATAAGGAATGAATTACCATTTTAGCAAAACAATATAAATCTGAGGGTGACAAAGCATCTTTTATTTAAAACTTACCGCGTGCTAAGCAAAGGACTAAACATTTTTATAGACCCGATCACATCCATCCAACACATCCCTCAAGGTGCGTTTGATTTTGCTTGTTTTACAGCTGAGGACAATGACAGATGATGAACTTCTTCAAGTTTTCTATGTTTTCCCCTAGAAAGCGACCAAGTGGATTGCGATCGGACTGCAGTGTCTTTCTTCTTTCTCCTGCTACTTGTGGTTTAATCATGATTTTTTCCCATACATGCTTTCCTCAGTATTACCCCTGCTCTCTCCTCTAAGTGTCTCCTGTGATGCGATTGGTGTGCTCCACTGCCCCAGGTCCTAGGTCCCCAATGACATCAGTGGGCTTTTCATAAGCAAAAGTAGGAAGAGTGCACATGTGTTAAAGTGTCCACGTAAGAACACACAAGAAACCGGGGAAGCCAGCCCAGAAGTCACGGAGAGGGTCGGAAGCTAAAAACGAAGCAATTGTGTTCAGGTTCTTCAACCTGTGCTGAGAGTTCCAGCCCACTACCAAAATCCATCCCTTCTTTCTCCATCAGAGGATCACGGCGAGGCCTGGGAAGACTTCATTCCACACCCTTCCATGCAGTTCTGTGTGGCCATGTCCCTAATGTCTGTCCACTGGGGTATGAGCAGGAATTGCATGTGCTGTTTAGGGACGGAGGCTTTCAACCACGAGGGCACCTCCGCCTGGTCGCCCTCCCCCTCCCCTGGCTGACGCAGTGAACGTGACAGGGTCTCTAGCAAGGTGAACTGGATTCTGCGTTTTTCCTCTTTCTTTTTCAATGTCTATGTTCTAATCTTTCTGTGAGCCTTCTCTTTTCCCTTCTGGGCTGTACTTTGTGACCTTCCCCTTACATAAACGGCATGCATCACACAGTATGGAGTATCATTCTAGATTTCCCAGTGCTGTGTACTAGTTGTTTCATAATGTAGGTCATCTCACTGCGTGAAGTTAGGGTACCAGGCCCTAGAGGCATCCGTGTCCACATTCCAGGGGTTGGTGACTATGTCAGATTATGTGGGAAGGGGAAATTAAGGTTGCAGATGGGGCTACTTTTGCTGATCAGCTGACTCAGGATGGAGGACCTGTCCTGGACTATGTGGACCCCGTGTAATCACTGGGTTCTCTGGGCAGTCAGAGGCAGACTCAGAGAGGGCCAGGTGGTGGAGGCAGCTCTGAAAGCTGAGGAAGATAAGAAAGAAAGATGCCCCCGCTAGAGGCTGCAGAGGGAGCAGAGCCTGCTGACACCTCGACATTGGCCCAGTGAAACCCATTTCCAACTCTAACCGCAAGCAGGAGCCATTAGATAATACATTTGTCTCAGATAGAAAACAAACACATGGTTACCGGGGGTGGGGGGGAGGTGGGAAGTGGACACATTAGGAATTTGGGATTAGCAGACACCAACTACTGTCTACAAAATAGATAAACAGCAAAGTCCTACTGTAGGGCACAGGGAAGTACATTCAATAGCTTGTAATAACCTATAACAAAAAAAGAATGTGGAAAAGAGTATATATGTATATATATGTGTGTGTGTATATATGTGTATAACTGAATCACTGTGCTATACCCCAGAAACTAACACAACATTGTAAATCAACTCTATTTCAATAAAAAAAGAAAACAAGAAAACAAACAAACGAGTAAATAAATACATTTGCGTTGCTTTAAGGCACTGATTTTGTAGTAATTTGAAATGACAGTAACAGGGACGTATATATTCAACTCAGCTAAATTAGAACGTATTTGGTCAGAAGCCACAATATTTCTCCCTGTATCCTTCAGAGCACCTAGAATACGAGGTGGCCCAAACCAGACTGTCACTGCGCAGTAGACTGAAGGCTACGATGCCCAACATGTCCTTTAGAACTGGTCACAGAAAATCAAGGCAGATGTGCTTTCTTCATCAAACTTTACCCAGCTGTCCAAAGACAGCTTGTCCCAAATGATGTAGAAAAACTGAGTTGTCATGGTTTTTCTGGGTAGCAGCTTCGCCATGTACATGCAACTCAAATTACACAAAAGCCCTTGAAGTGAACCTTGTCATATGCAATCAAAATTTATCCAAGGATTCTGGCCAAAGGTACTGATGAATACCACTGGACAGGTCTGGAGCAGTTTTGGAAAGATGTGTCTGTTGGACAAAAGAGAAAATCAGCTGAAGGGCTCATCGTGACCCCTTCTCTGAATACATCCCCTGAGGTCACAGACGATGCCAAACAAGAAAGGGGTGCAAATACGAGTCAGGGTAAATGCAAAATAGAGGGCACTGGAGAGAAACGTAGAGGTACCAGAACATCCACTGCCTTTTTACAGATATCATTAAAGGGGACACGTTCCTGCTCGCTCAACTTTTTAGCTCTTGTGTTCTTTTCTCCCTGAAAATAATGTAGAGATGGCTTACATTTTATTATTGTTATTAATATTACATGGAACAGTTATTGCAGTGCTAATAAAAAAGAATATTTTGTGCTTATAATCTCTCTTTTTAGGAGAAGAATAGGCCTCTCTTGAAAGTCTGGAGTAAAACATTTGCATCTTCATTTTATAAGTATAATTAGCACATTTGTCAGAGCTGTCATCAATGATAATCAACATAATAATAGCCCCTTATGTTTATACAGCCATGTACAACTTGCCGAGCGTTTCCGCGTCTTTTAGAATGTTACATCCACCATCTCTCTGGATTTGTTAATGATTCTTAGCGGAAGGCAGGACAGAAAGGGATCCCTCCACTTTTTTTTTTTTTTCCTAAGATAAGGAAAAAAAGATTCAGAGTCAGGGGTATAACGCGGGACTGGATTAGGTCCTTCTGGTTTCCTAGTCTGCTAGGCTTTGAGTTAGGCAAAGGCATGCAGATTTCATTTCCTTAAAGACAAGTTTTATTCTTGATGCTAGTCTCTCGCCGTTCAGTGCGATTTTGTGTTCACTGTCACGTTTCTTTCCTACTGAGTAGTTCATGAAGAGGTAAGTCTTTGGTATAACTTGTAATTACGACAGACCAAATGTCAGCCAAACTGACATTTCAACACAAAATGGGTAGAATTCCTTTATGTAACTTCCTCCTACGGAAGCTGTCTACACACAAAGGGAGACTTGCTAGAAACACGCTTAATTAACATACAGTGTGACTTCGATAGCTGGGGAGCTGAGACCCCGGACAGGTCCTTGGGGTCACTGTCTTATGTTGTATAGCCTAATTTGTGTGTAGAAATTCCAAACAGAGTCCGAAGGACATAATAGGGGATCTTGGTTTTACCTTTTCCGATGAAATCGAGGGTATGCGATTTCTTAGAACGGTCTTGATTAAGAGGAGTTAATGACACCACTTTAATATCTGGTTGTGAAGAGTTAAATTCGGTAACTTCATTTAAGCATCTAGCAGAGTAGAGTTTAATTGAATGTGCCTAGTTTAGGACTGTTATTTTAATTTTGTTGTCCCTCCAATAGCAATTCAGTTATCTCAAACGCTGGCCCTGGGCTCTGCACTCAAAGAGGCCTCGTCCTCTGGCTCCGGGAAAGTCTGGAGCCGCTTGGTCACTTTGGGAGCACTGCCTGGTGGCAGTGAGTCTGGCGGTGTTGCCGGAGTCGCTCTGAGTTCACTTTCACGACCACTTTGCCTCTACACCGTGTGTTCACGTCTCAGGACAGAGGAGAGCGGGTGTCCCACACCAGAGGCCGTTGTCAGGTCAACAAATGGACCAGGCAGGGCACCCGGTTCTGGAAACTGTCATGACCGACGATATTAATTTAAAAAAAAACCAAACTTGTAAATCTAATCTAAAGACATAGCTTAGAAGCCAGATTTCTGACAACGAACAAGGTGTGAGCGAGCACTGCCTCCCCTCCTGTTCCTCCCCCAAAAAAACCCAGCAAGTGACCTGAGCTCTGACTTCCCCAAGTGGAAGGGTCCCTCCCGGTCTGCGCCGCGGAGACTCGTCTCTAGTTCTCACTTTTACTTTCCATACCTGGCCTTATCCTCTTTCTGCACCGGGAGCTGCCATTTTTGTCTTGTTGGCTTTGATTTCCTCTCTGTTCAGTGTCTGACACCTTGTAGGTATTCATTATGTGTATGTACCTGTTGAATTTGAGTAGAAATGAGAACCAGGATGAGAGAGACAGAGAGACAGGGTGATATTAACCAAAAGGGAGGCCTGGTTGACATCCTGAAGCATTAAAACTTAGCATCTTGTAGTAACCTATAATAAAAAGAATATGAAAAGGAATATATGTATGTGTATATATGACTGAAACATTATGCTGCGCACCAGAAACTGACACAACATAACTGACTATACTTCAATTAAAAAAAAAGAAAAGAAAGAAATATCGGAACAACAGTAAACAAGCAGTAAATTACCATATAGTCAAAAAAAATCATGTTGCTGGTCAAAGACCAGCCAAGCTTCCATCTGCCTTACTCCTTTGTTCCTATATCTAATTATATAGGTTTATTAATGACAGCTATCATTTATTACACTCCCATGCCGGACGCTTTACCAAAATCACTTCATCTAATCTCTATAAGAATGTATCAAGGAAGGTGTTGTTATCTCTGTGTTTCCAGAGGAGGAAATGGAGAGTGAGGGAGGATGAGCAACTAACCCAATGGCACAGAGCTGATGAGAGTAGGGAGATTCCGGCGCCCCTGGCCTCTTCTTGGTAATACAAATAGATTATGCTCCAGATGTAACAGACATTCTGGCACCTGTGTTCTGGGCTTCACTGATGGAAGGAGCAAGGGAACAGTAGGAAGCATCAGATGCCCAGAGAAGACCCTTCCTCTTCCCGCTCCAGTGCCCACTTGATTTTTCTAATAGCAGTTACGACTACATCAAAAAAGAAGGAAAGAAAGAAGAGGAGGAATCAGCACTTTGAATGCAGCCAGGAGTTCACTTCACTGCTTATAAACCTTAATTAAACCTAATTTGTAAATCTTAATTGAACCACATGTACAGGCATTAATGAAGCAGTATAATAACACTGCTCTCCCAATAGGACAACACACTAATACTAAATACTTACATTCCTGGAAAACGCAGTCGTGTGCGCCTCATCGCAGCATAATGGGGAAGTGGATGAACAATTAATCTCATTAATTGCAATCAAAGGACAAAAAGTACAAACGAGTTGCCTGGAGGAATCAACTTTGCCAGATTTCCTCACAAACAGATACGGTGCTAATGAAGTGTCAGTGTGAATAAGTGAACATCTGAGGAATTTAAAGCCCCAGTTGGAATGTCAAGAGAAGGACATTCAGACTGGGGACATCAAGGCCTTCTCACGCAAAAGTCAACCCCTTGAAGATAACTCTCAGATGCATTCGTTCATTTATTCAGCAAATGTACCTTGAACGCTCACTCTAGTAATCATTAGCAACATAGATGTATATCAGATCATCACATTTTACACCTGAAACTTATACAATGTTATATGTCAATTATATCTCAAAGCTGGAAAAAATTAATGTAAAAAATCCACTCTATGAGCAGTCTACCACTCTTGAAAATGAGGACTTAAACATCAATGAGACACATTCCTTGGTAAGAAAGTGTGAAACAGGAAAGACTCAGGGATCATTCTGGGTCAGGCACTTTCATAAGCATCGCATTCAGTACTTTTTGTTTGTTTGCTTGTTTATTTCTGCAACTTGAGAGTCAGGTGTTACTCGTCACATTGTATAGAGGAAAATTTTTGGAGGTTCGGTAATTTGCTTCACGTCACATATTTAGCAAGTAAAGAGACAAGTGGGGTCTTAAAGAGTCATCCAACTCCCGAGGCCACGCTCCTTACAAAGCCTATCTAGGGCCCTTTGGGGGAAGCAGATTTGGATGCAGATGTTGGTCTATCATCCCTTCTCCTCCCCAGCTTCAGAGACCATCCTGTAGGAAATCGCTGCTCAGCCTTGACTGAATTTCCCATCTGGAGCGCCAACACCCACAGGCATTTGGGATTACTCTAGGCAGCATGTGGGCATTGCTTCTTCTCAGTGGCTCTTTTATGCCGCAAGATAACTGTGTCCTCCATATTCTCACCACCACTTCCCCAGCACCCTTCTGGTCTACCCCAAATCTTTATTCTATAAGTGGTCCTACGATCCTGAAACCGGAGCGTAACTTTCCCCATCCAGGGTCCACAGTGATTTGGACCATGCCTAATCTTCACACTTGAACTCCAGAGCTCACCCAAGCATCTGCTCCACAAGTCTGTCCTTGTCCACGTCAGTTTGTCTGCCTCGAATGCCCTTCCCTCACCTTAAGGTTGATTCCTCAACATCTGGCTCAACTGACCCCTCTGTGCATCCTTCCTTTTGTCAGTAAGAAAAGGCGAAAGCTCTCAGTTCCGCATTTGGTCCACTTCTCTGTTCACAAAAGTACAGTTGTTGGTTCCATACTTGCTCTTTCACCCTACGGTGAGTTTCTAAGTTGAAGGGTTCATCATACTCATCTTGGTGTCCCCAGCATAGGGCGTGGGGACACATTTCTGTTGAATGTATAAATGAATCTTAAAATATCTGACAACAAATTGCATGCAATTGATGCAGTGCCTTCACTCCCCTGAAACAAAAAAGAAAGAGGGAGTTTCTTCCTGGCTGTAAGCAGAGACCGGGATGGAGGTATTACTGAGGCAGGCGTTACAAGTTCATGGCAGGAAACCACCTGAAACAAATATGGAGTCCCTTCTACCAGAAACAGGAGGGACTCTCCAAAGGATGTCTTCATATGCTCCCGGTGGCAAAGGCTGGTTTTCCCTCTTTATACCGCAACTGGTCTGAGCTCCAGCGCCTGACACCAACCTCGCTTTTGTCCCCTGTAGTGCATTATCTGCTTCTAAATGATGAGCCCTGAATTCCTTACATTTGCTCTCCTAGGGCTTCCTGAAAGGATCTTAAAAACAAACAAAAATATATGATTTTATTTGTCTGGCTGTTGAAATGATGCAATGTCTCCCAGGATGAAGATCCAAACCATTTGGTTGTCTTTTAAAGACTTTGCTGCCCCAGCTGCTGCTCACCTCCAAGCTGCTTTTTCTTCATCTCTAATTTTAAAGTTTTTAGAAAAATTAATACTTTCCTTTTGAGAGTGATTTTAGGTTTACAGGGAAAAAAGTGAGCAGAAAGGACAGACAGTTCCCTTACCCTTTTCTCCTCAAACCCCCAGTCCCCACAGTGTCCCCCACTGTTAACATTTGGCATTAGTGTGGTCTGTTGCAATGAAACCAATACGGACGTGCTATTATTAACTGAAGTCCACCGTTCACATAACACATCACTCTGCATGCTGTACACTTCTACGGCTTTTAGCCTTTTTATGTATTTCTCTCTCTGGGTGGAAGGCACTGACACCGGCTCTTTATTTAGCTCAATCGTCCCTCAGGTTTCAACTTACAGGCCACCACCTCCAAGCAGTCCTCCCTAGCACTTAATACTGCTCCAGGCCACATTACTGGAGAGTAAGTGGAAAAGTAAAGGTTTAAACTTATTTTAAACAGGCACACTTTCTTTCTGCTCCAGACATGCTCTCTGATTACCTTTATTTCTGCATTTACATCACTGTATTGTAATACTATATTTCTTAACCATGATGTTCTTAAGAGTAGGGGTTACGTCTCACTTATGTTTATATGTTCTG